GCGGGCCTTGGGCGGCTTGCTGAAGTGGTGCTGGAACACGAAGGGCTGGATGGGCAGCGTGGTGGGGCGCTGGTCCTTGCTGTAGCGCACCACGGGCTTGCTGTCCGCGCCACCGCCTGTGGGAGAGGGCCAGGGGCCCGAGCATCAGAGGCACGGCCAGCCCGCGACCCGGCTCGTACTAGTGTGGAAGGGGTTAATCTCCCCCTGATCCCGTGCAAAAAAGGGAGAGATGGTGCAAGAAAGGGAGAGATGGAAAGAGAAAACCAGGCAGAGCAAGTGGGGAGACGGCAAGGGATGGAGCTGTCCGCGCCACCGCCTGTGGGAGAGGGCCAGGGGCCCGAGCATCAGAGGCACGGCCAGCCCGCGACCCGGCTCGTACTAGTGTGGAAGGGGTTAATCTCCCCCTGATCCCGTGCAAAAAAGGGAGAGATGGTGCAAGAAAGGGAGAGATGGAAAGAGAAAACCAGGCAGAGCAAGTGGGGAGACGGCAAGGGATGGAGCTGGATGTGGATGCATGGGCCTGTCTGTCCTGTGGCTGGACACCTTCCCACGGGCAGATGGGGCAACAAGGCCAGGCTGGCGGTGCAAGGGACATGCTTGGGGCAGGGGCTGGGCTCCATCCAGCCCCAGCCACCGGATCCATCCCTAGGACACAGGCTGGTACAGGAGCGATGGGAGGACATTCTCGTCCAGGGAGCGAGGCCCTGCAGCCAGTCCTGCCAGGGAGACGTGGCACTAGGGATGCAGGGGAGCTCGTGGGAGCCCTGCAGAGGGGTGGGACAGTCGACTGCAGTGCACGGGGCTGCATGAGCTGGGCTGCGGTCTGCAAGAGTCAGTGCATCCTGGTGCAGGGACCATCATGTCTCCTTGCTGCACTGTGACACGGGATACCTAGGCCACGGGCCCCATCCCACGTCTGCCCAGCACAGGGCCAGCATCCCGGTGCCAAAAGCCCGGCAGGGGGTGGGCGCAGCTGGGGAGGGGGAAGCAATGCAGCTGGCCTGGCCTGGCCTGGCTAGACAAGGTTTACCATCCACCCCGAGATCCCCCGGGCTGCCCAAGAAGCTGGCGCTAAAGACTCACTCACCTGCCCCATGGCTGCCGGACAGCATGTCACCGGTGCTTGCGTCCTGGCCGGCACCGGCCACCAGGCCGTCCTCAAAGGCATGGTCCAGGCGGTAGCCCTCGCAGCTGCGGTGCATCCCGTGCATGAAGGGCAAGGGTGGAAGACTCTGGCTGCGCCGGGCTCTGTCCTCGGGGAAGGCCGGGCCGTCGCGCTGCGACTCGGGGATGGGGGAGAACTCCAGCGAGGAGTCGCCGCTGGTGCGAAGCGGCGGAGAAGCCCCGTTCTTCTTCCGGCCCTTGGCCAGCTCGGCAAAGGAGGTAACGCGCTTCGGCGGGGAGCTCTGCAGGGCCAGTGCAGGGCTCTCACTCAGCTTCACCGGGCAGCTCAGCATGCGCTCCAGAGAGCCCAGCCGGCTCGTGGGGCTCCGGTCCAGGCTCCGGTCGTAGCTCCGCGAGCGCTGCCGGCCGGCATTGAGGTTGGGGGGCGACACGTTGACATAGACTTGGCCCTCAATCACGTTGCCCTCCACCTCCCCTGCCGCCGCACCCTGCCCTCCCTCCTCCGGCTTCAGCTCCGGCCGCCGGAACAAGTAGTACTCGGTGGGCTGCGCCGGGCTGCCTTTGGTGTGGTCCTCGGAGCAGCTGGTGATGGACGAGCCAGCTGGGCTGGGCGAGGACTGGGAAGACAAGTCGCACGTGACCAGCTTGTAGTAGTTCTGGGTGGCCACGACGAGCCGGGCCTGGCTCTGGAAGCAGGAGGTGAGGTCGGAGCCGTCGGCCGCGCAGGGCTCGCAGGGCAGGTGGTAGGAGTTGCAGTTGGCATCCAGCACCGGGGAGGCGGCGTGGCGGCAGCCGCACGGCTTCCCCCCGCTGTCGGGGCCGTGAGACTCGCAGGACATCTTGGATTCGGTGGGCGAGGGCTGCAGGTCCAGGTAGAAGGCGCCCGTGTCCGAGTGGCTGCAGAAGGAGGAGTCGCAGGACAGCGGGGCCGAGTTGAGGTTGGAGCGCGAGTGCCCGCTCATCTTGTGATACAGGGTGCTGAAGTTGACCAGCACCCCGTCCGAGCTGTTGCAGGACGAGTCGCTGACGTAGCCCATCGGCTGGTCCGCCAGCTCCGACTGGCTCGAGGTGCTGTAGCACCGGCAGGCCTGCAGCTCCGCGCTGGAGCAGCTGCAGCTCCGGCTACGCGGCACGCCGGCGTTCCCGGCCGGCTCCTCGACGCCGCCGGGACCCCACTCGGCATCGCCGAGATCGAAGGAGAAGCCGGCGGGGCCCCCGCGCAGGCAGGGGCACTCGTCCAGCTCCATGCGCTCGGCAGCCATGCGACACCGGTTGGCGTTGTGCCTCTTTGGGGCGGTGTCACCCGCCAGCCTGTCCTCCTGCCCATCCACCACACCGGCGCGGCTGGCCGCTTGCCACGGCTTCACGATGGGCCCGGTGTCGTGCAGGTGGAAGGGCGGCTTGCCGGTCACCAGGGAGCTGTGCAAGTGGAAGGATTTCTGGCCCCCGTCATCACCAAAGAGGCCGCGGTCGTCGCCGTCGCACAGGAGGAAAGGGTTGTGCCGCTTTGGGGCAGCGAGGTCCCTGGCTTTGCCCTCCTGTCTCTCGGCGGCCTCGGCCGGCACCTCCGCGGCCTGGAGCAGGCTGCTGTAAACCAGGGAGTCGGCCTGAGAGAGGTCACGGTCCGACAAGGCCGTGGCCCGCGTGATGCCCAGCTCCGGCGGGCAGAAGGGGTTGGTCCGCTTGCCCCCGCTGCAGCACTGCCGGTCGGGGACCTGGCAATGCACCAGGGGGATGTGATGGACAATGAGCGTCTCGCCGGTCAGCTTGGGCGGGCTATCCATGGCGGCGCAGGGCAGCGGCCAGGCCGGCACTACCCATGGAGCGTGCGGGGCGTGCAGGCGGCACGGGGGGAGCACATCTCACAAGGGGGGGTTCCCGCACCTGCAAAGACACAAGACACAGCGGGTCAGGGTCACCTCTGGGGACAGGCCTCCAGCATTGCAGGTCCAGGAAGCTCTGATGCAGAGCCCGTGCCCCTCGCTCCCTGCTCCATAGCTACCAAGGCTCCTTTCTTCCAAGGATGTGTCCAATCCCTTAATGAGTTGGTCTAATAAAAGATATCACATCTACCCAAATAACCTTGTCTGCCTATGTCCTTAGACCAACCAAAACCCTGCAGATATCGTGAAACACACCCAGGTCCTGCAGCCTCCCCTCCGGGCTGCACCCAGCCCTTTGGCACCCACCACAAGCAGCCAGTGCTGGGCAGCCCGCTGCCAGCCTGGGTCATTTTCAAGCAGAAAGCCCCAAATCCTGTTTCTGAGTGACCGGAGAGCGAGCCAGGCTGGTCAGTAAAGGAAAGGAAAAAAGCAGAGAAAGCGGCATTGAGATCACAGTCAGCAGAGCACAAGGCCTGTACGGCTACTTGTCCGGAAAGACGGTGCCTTCAGTAATCCAAATACCACAGCTGCATCTTAAACCATCAGTAGCACTAGCAGTGACGGGTGTAACTGAGCGTGCTTTTTGCTAGAATTGATGCCTTTTTACAAAGATTCTTTAATTGTTTGTAAAAAAAAAACAAGACAGCCTTGTCAGAGAAATAAAGGACACAAGAAACAGGGCAGCGCAGAACAGCATCGCACAACAGGGAGAGGGAAGCAGATAAGAAACCCTCCCTTTTACTGCCCCATAAATCCCAACTAATTGACACCTTCCAAGTCTACCAGACGTCTGGGTCTGTCCTATCCCCAGCGTTTCAGTGCAACAAAACCAACCAGAGAACATGCATTATCATATTTAGACTGAGACAACTATAAATATAGGGTAGAGACTGGAGGGAAATCTGGAGAATTCAGCAAATTCACGATGACTTGCAGCCTCCCACAGCGTTTTCACAGCCAAGTTGAGGAAGTCCAGGTTGGATAATGAATTGTAAGGTGGATAGAAACTGGCTGGATCATCAAGCTCCACAGGTAGTGATCAATGGCTCAAGGTCTAATCGGCAACCGGTATCAAGTGGGGTCGGTTTTGTTCAATATCTTCATCAATGACCTGGAAGATGGGATGCGGCGCGCCCTCAGCAAGCTCACGGATGACACCAAGTTGGGGAGAGTAGTGGATGCACTGCAGGCTAGGGAAAGGATTCAGAGAGACTTTGAAAAGTTGGGAGGATTGGAAAAGAAATCTCTTGAGGTTCAACAGGGACCAGTGAAAGTCCTGCACTTAGGATGGAGCAACCCCATGCACCGGTGCAGGCTGGGGGTGACGGGCTGGGCAGCAGCTCTGCAGACAAGGACCTGGGGGGACAGGGGGCAAAAAGCTGAATAGGAGACAGCAGTGTGCCCTTGGTGCCAAGAAGGCTACCAGTATCCTGCATTTCACAGGCATTTGGTGCCCCCGACACAGGCATGCCATATAGTGCCCGTCAGCTGCCCGAACCCTCACTGCTTCCTCTCATCCTGGTGCTGCTGCACGGACCTGCCATCCTACCCCACGTGCCCAAAACGGCCTGGGCTCGGAGCACGGCACCCAGCAGCAAATTGCCCAGCCCCCAGGGGCTCACCTGAGCCAAGGCATCTCCATCCCCAGCAAACGCCCCTGGGGAGAGCATGGCTGGGGGTGCTTTCTCCCCCCAGCTCCCTGCGGGACACACTGCAGCCCAGGCCGAGTGCAGGGTGGGAGGCTGGATGGCAAAGCCGCTGGAGTGAGCAGAGGGCCAGTGCATCCCAGGGACATGTGTGGGGAAGTAGCACGGATGGGCAGCAGCCCTGTGCATCCTAAACATGCCAGTTAGGACCAGTGCACGGAGGGGGGGACGGCCCCAGACAGCCAGCAGCAGCCCTCAGCCACGTGCCCTCCGTGCACCGCACAGTCCAGCCTCCCCTCTGCCCTGCACCATCCCTGAGCTGGGCTGTCTCCCCTGGGGCTGGCAGGGAGCTCCAGAGGCCACAGCTAGCCCAACCCCGGCCTGAGGCAGGGTCAGCCCTGTGCAAACCCGCCCGGACAAACCCCGTGTCCGACCTCTGAGTGCAGGGGCAAGACCCTCCAGCCAGGACCCTGCGGGGTTGGTGCCAGAACAGCCCACTCCCATCCTCAGCCTGGGCTGCACCCAGTGCCTCTGGGGGAGGCTTTAAAAAAACAACCCACACCTGACACATGGCAGAAAAGGAGTCGGAGGAGGTGGGATTGCTTCCCTGGAGAGGTGCAGACAGACAGACAGGCAGACAGAGACTTGAGGAGGCAATGAGGCAGCCTGGCAGAGCCCCAGCAGCAGGGTCTGCTTTGCTGGAGGGCTCCAAGCCGCGGCTGGATGAGGACGGGGTCAGAGCAGCGCAGAGGTGGCACAAGCACCCAGCGAGAGGGCTGAGGACCAGCGCGGGGGATGCGACGGGGTGAGCCTGCGGTATGGTTTCCCACCCCTAACATGCCTGAGCCAGGACACCGGGTCCCAGGAGCCGGCGCCAGCTGAAACACGAGCCCTGCCAGCAGATGCCGCAGGTGTGGCGCACACGGGCATGTCCCTGGGAGCCCAGCCACGAGGCTCTGACACAGATCATCCCACGGGCCCACGCTCCATCGGGAGAGGGCCCCAGCAGCACGCAGGCTCAGAGATGAGCAGGATGCAAGCCAGGCGCGGGGCCTGACCAACCTTTTCCAGCTCGGCTGCCTCTGGCTCCGTGACTCACCCCTTGGCAGGAACGCGGCACGAGCCAAGAGACAGACGCCGGCTCTGACTCACAGCCACGGGGCACCCGCTCCTCTCCCACCACGCCCCAGATACATGCTCTCAATGACCAGAAGCAAATCTGCACCAGGGGAGAAGGGGGGCTGCAACACGGATACGGTCGGGTGGGAATCCCTGCTGCAAAAGGAGGCGAGCTCAGAGCTCAGCCGGTGCTTGCTGCTGCAGCCGCGGCAGCTGAGAGAGCTGCATTTCTACAGCATCTTTCTCCTCCGTGGGTCTGACCGAGCTCTAAGGACGTAGCAAACCCAGGGCCCAGGATGCAGGGCAGGTCTGGGTCCTCGGAGCAGCTCCATCCCATAGGGCAGAAGCATTTGGGGTCAGAAGTGCCCGGGATCCTGTGTGCAGAGATGCTGCTTAGCCGTGTCCAGCCAGCGAGGCTGAGATTAACCCCACAGGACCTGTAGCAGGAGACAGCTCCAGACCTCAAGTGCAGTCTGGAGTTGCAAGGTGCGCAGCACCCCAGGACGGCATGGCCAGCTAATCCCTCCAGTGCTTCGGGGTCCCTGGGCAGCTTGGCCTCCGGGCCTGGTCCTAGGGGAGCAGCAACGATGCAGAGGATGGAGACAAACCCCGCAGGGATGAACTGGGCACCTGGCCCAGCAAACGGGGGAGGGCAGGCAAAACCCACCACAGCCACTTCAGCCCTGCTAACAGGTGTAATGCTAGTGAATGAGGGGATGGGGGCGAGGGGGGTATCATCCTTGGGCTATCCAAGCCCGCCAGGGCCATGCATCTCCAGCTTGCAATCCCAGAACCACCAAAAAGTGGGGCTGGAAAGGAGCTGTGGGGGTCACGCCTAGTCCAAGCGCTGCCTGGCGCAGGATCAGCCCCGTGCAAACCAGCCCAGACAAACCCACTGTCCGACCTCCGAGCAGCACGACACCATCACCCCAACACAGCCCCCCGCATCGCCCCCGGCCCTGCCACAAGGACAGCAGGGGAGGCCAACATCCTGCTGCTGCAAAGGATGCTCGAGACCCCAGGCAGAGGCTGTGCCCCCGCTGCAGAAGAAGGCAACCCCCCCCCAGGTCCAGACTGGCCTGATCAAGGGGGGAAATCCCTTCCTGCCCCCAGTGCAGCGTGGGTCTGACCCTGAGCACAGGGTCCCAGCAGGAGCATTGTCACGGCCCAGGTCCCATCCCCAGCCTGGGCTACAGCACCCAGCGCCTCTGGGGGAGGCTTGACACCCCCTGACACATGGAGCAATGCTGAAAACATCCTCTCCACCGCACCCAGCCAGGCCCCATCCTCCCTCCACCCCTGCGACGTGAACGGGCACAGCTCCTCCCTAAAACCACGTCCTAGCTCCTTTACTGCAGAGGCAGTGGGGAGCAAAGAGTCCCAGCGCTGCACAGTGCAAGCTCTGCAGAGGCATGAAATGCAGCCGTGTCTGGGTGGGGAGGAGGTGGCAGCTGACAATATACAATAGCATCCTGCAAGTTGGAGACAAGAGGCCAGGGAAGACACGGCTCTCAGCTGACAACAAAGGAGGTCTCCAGGGAGCTGAAGAGCTTGCAGCAACAGAGATACCATCCCCCCTCCCCCCACATACACACACACACGCACGCACGCACAAATACATGCATGCACCTTGCAAGGGGCCTGGATGCTCTGGAGGAGCATTTCAGGCCAAGGGTGGGTGCATGTGGCCTCGGGCAAGGGGCTGGGGTGGAGGAAGGGGCTGGGCAGGCACGGCAGGGCTTCATGGCAGCTCTGCCACCAGCTTCAGCCTGTGCCTGCAGAGCCGCAGTTGCTGAAAATGATGCAAAGCTGCACGCGGCGTCATCCGTGCTGCACACAGGCGCTCACAGCCTCCGTGCCGGCTCCAGAGCCCGCTCCCCTGCCCTTCGCCTCCCCGAGGGCCGTGGCTGCAGGAAGCGTTGCCCCTTGGCAGGCCGCGGAGGCCGTGCGGGGACCAGAAGTAGGAGCCAGGCTGCACAGGCCGGGAGACACCTTCCATCGCAGCAACGCGGGCTGTGCAGAGAGCCATTCAGATGAGCTGGCGCGGCGCCCAGGGCCCAGCATCCTCCCCCCTGCCTCTGCATGGGAAGAAAAGGGCTTTTCAGTGCGAGATGGCCTGCTGAGAGCAGCCGTGCCGAGGCGCCAAGCCTGGGAAGGGGCCGGAGGACTAGACCCCTCTCTGCTGCAGATGCCCGCAAGCTGCAAGCTGCTGCAGAAGACACCCTGGGGACTCACTGCGACAGGGTTTCCTTCACCCGCTGTTGTGGGTGGGGGGAGTTGGGAATGGCTTAACCCTTCCCCCACCTCCTCCAGGTCGAAATAGGAGCCTGGCTAGGGATGGGGATGGGGCTGTGGGATGCGTCCACCTCCCAGTGCTGCCCAGCCCACGCCTTCCTATCCTAGAGAGTGGGATGGGGGGCGGGGGGGGATCTCCGGACCTCCTAACACGAGTGCTGCTGGCTCCGTGCATCCCGCCGGAGGGTGGAGAGGAGAGGGCAGGTCTGGATGACCTCCCGGCTGCGGCACTGGGACAGGAAAGGCCACTGCACGAGAGAGAAACCCAGGGCAAGTCGCCCGTGGGTTCAAAGCAGCAGGACAAAGGCAGGAAGGGAGCGGCAGTGCATTCAGCTGACACGCACAGGGGCGTGCAAAGCTTCAACACTGTCTCAGGGACGGAGGCATCTCCAGGCCGGCTCAGGCCCATGTCCACTGGATCCGTGCCCTGCGAGCAAAGCCAGACACTTGATGCGATCCTTTCCATGACCTGCTCATGCTGCACGGTCGTCGTGCAGATATTTATTCCTCCTAGCGCTGCCAAGCACAGCTGCCCAGGCCGGGTGCGACCCATTTCTCCTACTCCACCCCTGCAGCGATGCAGCTGCTCTGCGCCTCACCCACCCCAGACAGGCTCCTCCGCCCCCCGGCCCCGGCAGTGGGTCTAACTGCCCTGACCGCGAGGAAGTGCTTGCTGAGAGGCAAGAGGAGAGCGACTCGCCCTCTTCTCTGTGGATGCCTTGCCAAGACTGAAGGCTGCTATCATGGCCCCCGCACCTCCTTTCCCCCAGGCAGGATGTTCCCAGGGCCTGCAACCCCTTCGCATGCAGTAGGCTTCCCAGGTCCTATCTCCTGTGTTGCTCTGCTCTGGACCCTCCCTGGACCATCCTCTTTGTAATACAACACGCAGACCTTAGCCCAGATCTGACCCATGTCAAGCAGTGGTACAATGGCCCACCCCGTGCCCCACAGGCCAGGCTTCCCTTGCTGCAGCTCAAGCCCATTGCTCCTTGTCCACTGAGACCAGCCCAGCTCCATCCTCTTTGCAGCCCCCCTGCAGGGAGGTGAAGGCTGCTATTCAATCCCCCTCGGTCTTCTCTTCTGCAGACTCAATCGGCCCATTTCCCTCCTCCTCTCCTCACTAGTCCTGT